GATCCTGCTCCTTCGGCGGCTGCAGGGGAAAACGCCTGGGTCGCTTCTCTGCGGAAAACACACCCCGCCCCAAACCTCGCGGCCACACAGCAGCCAAGCCCCAAACACGCAGAGCAGAACTGACAGCTTCTTAGAGGAGTTACGTGTGCCTAGTGAGGATACACGGCTACGGTGTGTTTTTAATCATACCCCCACGGAACAACAGAACACCCACGGGCAGAGCACGTTAGTTCCTCGTGAGCTGCTCCCCCGGCTCTCCCACGACGCGCGGCCGGCGCCAGGCTCGGCCCCGGTCCCTGACTCACCCCAGCGCACCCAAACCCGCCCCACGAGCACACCAAGGAAGATTAGTGAGACTTCTGTTAACAGACACCTAGTATTTTAATGCTCATAGGAGCACAGGCAAAGTAAACAAAAAAAGGGACCGAGTCGTTAACAAAGCAAAATCATACGTCATTACTTAGCATTAGGATCTTCCCCCACGGATCCAGGACAAAGAACATCCCATGGAAACACCCACAAACCCCTGAAAGATTGCTGATGTGCGCTGCTGTTAACCAGTGGTACTACAAGTATTTCCGTAGCATCGGTTTTACCAGAAAATTCTTATTTAAGAACACACAATGCAGTAAAGGTCAAGTGTTTGGAGCTGAAACAAAGTCTGACTGCTTGCCATCTTTAAATGCCAGCACTTTTCCCAACACCAATAAATAAATGAGTGTAGACATGAACCAAATCTCACATTGTATAACACCTCAATTTTGCCTAGTAGCATTTTTATAAGATTTAATTGAGACAGGGGGGTTTAAAGTTAAAAAGGGATCAAGAGAATAACTAATTGAGAATAGCTGTTCGGACAATATATGATTAACGTTTGCCATGCTTGCGAAGACAGGATGACAGGATCAAAGCTGTGATAATGGGGGAGGAACTGCTAACCCAAACGAGAGAAGAGAATACACCACCTGCAAGGCCACGGAGATGGGGAGGGCTGCTTAGCCTCTAAACAAGATGGGAACCAGCCTGGTTCTTTGGACTGAGACCAAGAGACCAGGAGGTGAGAAGTTCAACTTCGATGAAGACTCATTTACTTCATCCGGACGACCACCAGGGAGCACTACGAAGGCACAGAAGGACTTTTTAGCTAATTATAATACTAAGCAGAGCTAGGCGGGGCTGGGGAATTAATATGAATGGATTACAAAACTTAATGCATATGCAACATTTTGGGGAATAAATAGAGGGATAGGTTTTGCAAAAAGGCACGCATGTCTTTGGTGGAGCTATCCCCCATGCGTCTCAGCGCTGAATAAACTACATACCTACTTTACAACTTTCACGAGTTGTGGAGTCTTTCCGCTTCGTTATTGCATATTATTTTTTAGAAACTGTTGTGCAAAAAAAAAAAAAAGCCTCTTTTTACATAAGCATCAGTATCAAACTCATAGCTAAAAAAGAAGATGCTGTATGTTAGACTCACAAAAATTAATTCAGTACCTTATTGCTTTCCATTTGGCCCAGCAGCTTGTGGAAAGACAGGCACAACAGGCAACAAAAAGGCAGGCCCAGAAACAACCATAAGAAGGGAAACATCACTAAAATACAATGAATGCACACTACAATAATTGATATAATGTGCTTTTATTCCTATTCCAGATGAAGAACAAAAATATTCCCCTGCAAAGGAAGGCTGACAAACATGGTAAAACTGCTTGCAATAAACGCAGCCCTTTCACACTACGTAACAACCCAACCAGATTTTTCTTTGGCTTTTCTTTTCTGCCAGTTCATAGGAAGCATTTGTACTTGCCATTAAGACACTGCTGCCACAGGTGCAACCCAGTGTTTGTCATCATTACCTTGCACAGAATTGCTTGTGTCTTTGCTGACTGGTACAATAAGGAAGCAAGGACCTTTGACATAAGCAGGGCTCAATCATCTGTGCTCGGGCTGTCTTCTGTTTGCTTGGTTCTACTTCCTCTATAAGTGTAGTCACTGTAGATTTAAATGCATCTTTACGCGCAGTAGACAGACTATTGCAGCAACAAGCCCAACACCAGAACACGACATTAGAGGGCAGTCAGCACGCTCTGCTGACTTTATCCCAGCCATAGCCGAGGAAATAGTAAAAACCTGCACCCCAGTGCCTGGGCTGAAAGGTCTCCCCGCCCATTTCAAAATAGTTCCAAACAAACTTCCTGATTTTGAACAAGTGCAGTGTGCAAGAGGCTGATTTAAGAATATACCACATTAAACTGAACCACGTGAAGAGTACTAGGTTAACTGAAACAACCTGAAGAACTTCTATGGCACAGCAAGAACATAAACATTCGAGTCACTCAGTAACTTTAAAAATCCAGGCCATCTTAATCTCATGTGAAAGGATTTTTATTTATGAAAGTGTGTTTAAGTCTCCTTGCATTATGAGCACAGATGAGCTGTACTCCAGCCATAACAGGCAGGAGCACAATACTACAGTTCACACAAACAAGATGCACAGCCACACTCAGGTCACTGAATATCTAAAGTGTTTTTATTTTATTCAGAATGACACCTGAGGAAAGCCTGGCTATCACTGAAAGTTATCATTAAGGCTTTTTACATGTTCTAACAAAATGGAGCTATTTACCAACATTCCCTACGACAAAACTCCAATTACACCACCAGCTTCTCTAACACACTTGAAAAGAAAGTCTGAAAGCCATTTTTATAAGCCTCATTTGAGAGATGTCAACCAGACACTGAACTTCCTTTTCATACTCAAAGTAGTGATTTATGACAGAATATTTTAGGAAAACTCACATTTTCACAGTTGTCTTAACTACTGCAGAGCCCTTTTATTTCTCCAGTTGCCTATCAGCATTAGAACAAACTACTTAAGGTTTAAAGGCTGAAGACTAGTAAAGCAATGCACATGAAAACAAGAGTAAAATGAATAGGTTCAAGCTTTCCGTTACCAATTTGTATGAAGAGTTGTGACCTCAGGGAAGACAGTCAGAGGTATGCAGGTAGTGATGAAAAAGGGGAGAGAGAGAGAGAGAGAGAGGGGAGTCAGACCGCTAGCCCTATCAAAAGCTTTCAAAAACTGACAAATATCAGTGTTGCAGCCATGCTGGTTTAAGGATGCAAACAAGGCATCATTCACAAGCAAAAGAGAGTCCTTTATTTGCCCAGCTCTACAGCTGCATGATGCGTACAGGCACACAACTTTTTTTTTTTTTTTGGTCAGAAGCAGCCTGGACACACTTTGTGAGGCACCAAAGATGATTATACCCAGAAGAGAACCCACACTAAGATTCAAATGTTTGGCTGCATGGTCTCTAGCTTTAAGTGGTCTAGCACATGAAAACACCTCAAAATAAAATACAGTTTATGAACATTAACATATAATAAGAGAGCAACAAACTGCACCTTACATAATTCTTCCATCACCGACTAGTGGAAGCGCTCCTCAGAAAATAACATTTAGTGACAACAGCCGTAAAGGTACTCCAAAGCACAAATGCTGCCAAATCTTCTCTTTGTCATGTAATAAAACTAGTCAAATACACTAGCAGGCCTGCTCAAGAGCCTAAGCTGGAAGCTTAAACTCTGCCCTATCTTCTACAAAGAGTATGACTCAGCTATTCCACAGCTAAAGCCTAAACACAAGCAGTTTACAACAGAGCACTCCAGAATTTGAATATGTAGGCAACAATGTAGGATGGAGCCAGACCTCCCGCATATCACTAGGACTTTTATGGGGGTTAAGCTAAACTCAGAATGAACTGAACACGGCTTGCAAACCAGAGATAAAGCTTCCTGTTTATAAGCTAGCCACCTGCCCTATAAAGGAAGCTGCTGTGAATTACAGACTGCAAGACTAAGTATCAAGATACCCTTCTCAGCTATGACAAACTGTAAGAAGCGGGCCATGGGCACTCCCCTGAACTCAATAAATACACATTCTTAAATGTAAGCACTGTAACTGCATGTATTTAATATATTCCACATTAAGATATTCACAGCTAATTATGTTTGTCCTTAACAGACAATATGTTCTTGGACCAACTGTCCCTCATTCTATTATCTCTTAATTCTATCCTGGAAAAGCATGAGTTTTTCCATTATTCCACATTTCTGAACTTAAAATAGAAATCTGCCAAGATTTATTGGTCAAAGGGAAAGCAAAATCGGATGCATCTTCCTCCATCTCCATTTGAAATTAAACCTTTATTTCAGTCATTATAAGCAGAAACCTCTCACAGCAGGTGGGCTCAGCAGGCTGTTATACCATTACACTGTTACATTCAGTTGTAGAGATACATCTCACTTCATACAAATATAAGCAAAAGGTGGGTCTGGTGGTGAGGTTTTTCACCCCTTAAGCAAAAGCATCAAGCAGCAGTTCTTAAATGCCTCAGTGTGCCAAGTACATCATTCTGCACTCTTTGCATCAGGAGGCCAACTAGCAATGCAGTAACCTTGCCCGTGGAACACAGGGGGAATTAAACAGCTGTGTTGTGACAAATCTTACCTGACAGAAAAGCACATTGAACTTGCTTGAGGAATCCCAACTGTTCAGTGGAAAACATCTATATTCAGTGTTGTCATGGGTGGGGTAGGAGTCCTTATTTGCATAAGGGTACAGAGCACTACTTCTTGGATCACTTTAAGTCAAAAGTAAAAACTTAACTGAGCACTACCCTCATATCTTAACTCTTAAAATATCTGAGGCACAAGCATGTGTATTTGTTTTCTTCATAATTTGCCTTGGGATACCAAATGTATTTCTGCTTCAGGTGATTTAAGAGAACCGTTGACCTCATTTCAAAACATCCACTGATCCATTTGTCATTCAATGGCAATATCGAATGTTAAAAGGAACATAAAAACAAACATGCACACAATTGTACAGTTTTCATAAATGTCTATTTCATTATTCGTGGGTAGCGCATTAAACAGTTAAATACATTTAAATAATGTTTAAGTGACTGCACTAATGCAGAATTTTAACTAGATGGGTAACCAATTTAACTAGAAACCAGCTAACAAGTAACTGTCTAAATACTTCAAATACAGCTCTTGTTCTAGGTCATCCTTCTTGGAAAAAAAAAGCCTGCTGGTCACATTGGAAATACATTTTAAGGCCAAATTCTTCTGACATCCCTTCTCTGCAGCAGTTTCTTTGCCTTTTTAAGCCTCCAATTCCAGGCCAAGACCAAGTTTATGGCCACCAGCATTGATGCTCTTTCCATCTATCAGGGCAGACAGTGTAAGCTTCACACCTGTAAGATTTTTAAAGAGCACGTTTACAACATCCCATCAGTGTAGTTTTCATGCAACTCAACCTCCATCATTACAAGTCCCAGTTGTAGCTCTTTTTCTATTTCATTACTTTCTTCTGAAGATTTCTACAGAATAATCCATTTACCCATGAAATCTATTAAAAGCTAGTCATGTGAATCAAGCTAGATGCTTTTTGTAAACACTATGTTATAAAGCAGATACACAAAGTCTCTAGTTGGTAAGTACCCAAGAGCTCTCCTTTCCTACATTAAGGTATGCAAAGAAGGAGACAAATTATGCATAGAAAGACAGATACTTGTATCAAGGAATGGATAGAATGAAACTACAATTTTTAATACTTTTCAAATATGGAATTAACCAATGGTAATATAGCATTAGTAGGTGTTTTCATATTTAAGCAGAACAAGTTAAGTTATGGAGGCTTTTTTACTAAATACAAAGAGCAGGAAGTGTACGCTTTTGACAATCACTATTTCAAGACCTGCTGTCATTCAATACAACATGACTGGAGAAAGCAACATTTAAAAAAAAGACTGCTTGCACAGCCTAAAGCTAAGACATCAAACACAATGCAGTCCACTCCTACACAAATCAGTAAGGCATATAATGCAGAAATACCGTTAGATACAATGGAATTTTTCTTGTTTAGATAAAGGTTTGATACGCAACATAAGCTACTATAAAACATCAACTCTGCCTTCAAGACAAAAATATTCTGAAGAAGGCAAGTAGTTGCATATAAATGCACAGATGTCAAAGTTTTTCTTTGTGATGCATAAGAGATATTTATGTGACATCAATTTATGTGACAATCCTTACCTGGCCTCAGAGTCTGAGTGTAACCCACTCCAACTAGACTAGAATTGTTCACTTTTGCCTGAAAAAAACCAAGACAAAAGCAACTGAAATGTTGTAATTGATTAGTTCTTTGTTGTAATTCAGAAGCTTGAATTACTACGGCAACACCACCAACTATCAACTTAAACACATTTTACTTGTTCTTTCAACATCTCTGTGCTTTCTGGATTCTCTCTTCCCAGCTACGCCCTTACCCCCCAACTTACAGCTGAAGTAGTAACGTATTTAAGAGCGGACAGAATGTAAGGGCAGGAAGAACTGTTAATGGGATGTGTCTGGGAGGTGAACTTCCCCACTCCACCCTTTTCAGAAGGGCATAGTAATTCATTGCTAGAGTCTCCAAAAAGAAGCCACTTGGTAAGAACCATTCATGTTCATATTTTTACAAAATAGTTAGTATCTTGCAAGTCCAATCAGTCAAGTATCCAGTCAAGTAGCAAACATTTCATAATACTTGTGCAAAATTTTTTATCTCACTTTGCATCACCTTCTCTATAGGATGATTCCAACAATCCAGGTTCCACTCTTTAACATACAGAAGACTCTTCCACATATAGCCTCTTTAACTTGTATTGCTGGAGTTCTTACCATGAGAACATGACAGAGCTCCCCAGAAACTGGTTTTAAAATAATTCTGTAAGCTTACAGAACTGGACACCAAGGGGTTTGGTTTTGGTTTTTTGGTTTTTTTGGGTTTTTTTAATAAATACATTAAGTCCTGTAGAGTAGCAGACCATTTGACAGTCTGATTCTAAAAGAGACTTGGCTGTATGCAACATTACTGAATTTAAATACTGATGGTTTAATTGTAACTGCTTGGATTGTAAGGGCAATTTCTACAAGACTTTCTGACCTATTACGTTATTTTATACTAAAAACACACCGATTCACAGAAACTGAAAATACACTATGCTTAGCATAACACTTTAGGTTAGAGCCATACTTACAGAGATAGAAGCAGTGGAATCCAACTTGTATTTGGCAGCAATGCCAAAGCGAGTGCTGTTGCTACCTGCTGTCCAAGCCAGGTTTACAGCAGTTTCAAGATTGTCACTCACTTTCTGGTAAATTGACCCACCAAATTCTGAACCATCATTGCTGCACAAATTAAGAAAAAAAACCTTAAGTTTCCTATATTTACATAATCCCACCATTTATTTTTTTAACTACTTCAAATTTTTATTCAAATGAGAATTCCAAAAGTCTGAGCTGTTCCACACTTTTCAACAAGAGAAGGGGAGATGAACAAAGGCTTCAGGGCAAAATTAAACTGCAATAATTCATGGGGGGGTAGGGGGGGGGAAGATATTTCAGAACGCTACAGCTAATTCTCACACTAATGTTGAACTAAGTACCTGAATGTAATTCTAGATCATATCCTTACAAAACTAACAGACAGAGGCTAATAGTTAGGAAACACACATTCTGAATTCTATGATTATTGAATACATATGACATTCCTAAAGAATTAGTTACCTTTCTAAAAATCTGTCACAATGTTTGACATTACTAAACTGAAGTGGAATTCTTACACCCCAGACTCAGAAATGTTTTGTAGCTTCCTTCCATACCCCTCAAGTTCCATAAACCCAGACAGACACAATCCCCATCCTCCCCTTCCAAAAGGGCAAACATCTACCTCAAAAATCAAGTTAGTTATTTCCTAACTAAATGTCCTACAACAATGCCAATTTTTATTAACTTAGATAGAAAACACTATGTTCTTCAGTAGGTTTTGATCAGCTTGCTCTGAAGAACATTTAAGATCTAAAGGCAGCAAGTCTGAAGAAAGTTCATAAAACAGATGTCTTACATGCTCGTTTAGTTACACTGCAAGTGGTTCATGCACTCTTTATCCCAGACAGGCAAGAAGATGAACCTACTCAAAAAGTCCAAAAGCAAAGCTCTAGTCTTGCTCCAGAAACTACTACTGGCCTACTTAGAAAGTGCAACACTAGTTACTACCTGTAACAAATCTACTGCCCTTAAATTATGGTCAGATACAATTCAAAGCTGGAAAAAGCATTATGATCAGCTCTGCATAACTCTGAACTGCTGCATTTCCAATTCGGATATACCTCAGTATTGGGTAAGATGTGGCATATAGTATGCTTTAAGTGCTAACAAGCCCCAGGTATTTACTGTTTTGAAACAGAGAGATACAAAGTAACATTTATAATGTATTTATAGTTTCCTATTGAAGAATGTACTCCACTTAATGGCTTTGCAAGCACCTCTCGGTATTTCAAGCATTTGTATTCTGACTAGAAGGACAGGTAGAGAAAGCCTACTTCTGTAAATCTGGATGCAATTTTCAGTACTTACACGTTAGTGTGCAGTTGGAAGTCTCCAGTCTTGTAACCCACAGAGAAGTTATTTCTTGTCAATTTTGATTTGGCACTATCAAAAGTCATCTGATAACCAGCAAGCCAGCCTTCATAACCAAAGACAGCTGAACCATGGATTGCAGGTCCAGCAAAATCAAAGTCAACATCACAACCTAGGTTTAGGCATTCACGTTTATAAGCTGACTTAATTTTACCACTTTTCTTTCTGAAACAGAGAAACAGTTATCTTAAGACAAGGCGCGATCTTCCTCAACTGCCAACTTTGAGCCATTGACTCCACAAAATGTATCTAAATGCCACCCACATGCATCCTCTAGACTGGGCCAAAGTGCAGTTGGCCCATCAAGCAAGCACAGGGCTATCACAAACAGGCATTCTGTGAGGAACGCAGAGGCTTTCTTATGCCTCCTGCAATCTTCCAAGTATTTCTAGCCCAGCAAATAAGCAAAGCAGGCTGTTGTGAAATGTCCAGTACTAACCCTGAAGAATAAGACACAATGCTAAAGAGCAGAAGCCTTTAGCATTGGGATTTGCTAATTCAGATCAATAGCAAACCATACAAACATGTCTATCAATACAACAGACCAGATGAACATTTACTGACCATGGGTGTTGTTACTGCCCTAAATAAGGCAAAAGGTTAAGAATTCTTACCCTGTATTTGGTGAGAAAGTTGTGTCAAATGTCAGCTTCAAGCCCCTGGCAATCTAATTCAAGAGGGAGAAGATAAAGCTATAAATTCAGTTCTGCTAGTTAGGTAAAACACATAAATACTCTCTTAATCTATTACCTGATCTTCAATTGCAATTTCTGTTCCCAGAGTGTTATCTGTGTTCCATTTTTCTGTGAAAGTCAGCCCATACTCAGCCCACTTGTATTTGGTCTCCAAGCTCCCATTCACTTTTCCAGTGTCTGTGTTCGATGAACCAGATGTTGTGAATTCCTAAAAAGGACAGTGTCCATGTTATACAGAAGATACATGTGATCTTGAAAGCATGACACAGGGTCAAAAGAGAAAAGACTTTTCTTCAGCAATCACTAAGTTCTTGTTAGTCTATGCAACAAGTTTAACAACGTTAGACAACTTGCAGAGGAAGAAGGGGGAACAACACGGACAAGAACTAGATGATTCACGGAGGCCTCCCCTCACTCCCCATCTCAATTGCAGTGTTTCTGCCACTATTACAAAACATACAGGTTTGCAACATAACTCAGAAGCAAGACAGCAGTTACCATAAGTATTGTCCTTAAAAAAAGTTCTTGAAATATAAGGTTCAGACTGATACTCATAATAAGCAAATCAAGAGCCAAGAACACTATAAGGCACACACAATGCAAAGTTCTATACGGATCACATATGTATTTTCATTATTCCTGTCAACCACCTCCAAAGATAAATTATGTAAAACTGTAAAATGCCATAGAATGACACCAATTTTCCAACTGGGGATGGGGTGAGTGGTGGTTTGGGTTTTTGTTTGGTTTTCTGTTGCTTTTTAAGAGAGTTCTCAGTCTAACCAATGCACCAGCCTTTCATAGAGGCCATATGCACAGGTATTTTTACTGACATCTAAAAATTCCTATTTCCCTGACACTTTGGTTTAATGACATACAAGAACGTTCATGTTTGAATTGTGAGCTAAGGCAACAGTCTGATTTTATGCTTCTGGTAGAGTCTTACTTGGAGTTCTTGAAAGTATTTAACACAGATTTTCCTTTAAGACCTCATTTGAATTCACAAGTCCTTAAGCTTTCTTATTCTCACAGTCCAAGTCCTACTGCACATCACAAGCGCACGTGAGACTGTTCTTTAATGGCAGCTGATCAAGTTTAACTGTGGCCAAGACGTTTACTTGAATTACGTTAAGGAATCACTGAACTATCCACACAGTTGCATAATTCTAGTAAGGTCTATTTCTTGGCAAGTGACAGGGACTACACAACTTCAACTCTAAACAGCTTCAGCTTTAACTTTGTGCTTTGTGCTATTTCTACCGCACAGGGTGTATGTGACTGCAGTGATTGTGGTAACAACTTCAGGAGCAGCAAATTACTACATTATCTCTTATCTCTGCTTTAAAACATCTGCAGTACATACATGCCAGCACTTTCTCTTCCTAGGAAGGATGGCTTATTACCTGCTATGGAGTTCTCGTGAGGGCTTGGATTTTTCAGAGAGTTTTACCAGCATTACTGGTAGTCCTCAAAAGAAACAAGCTAAAATAAGAACAGCTATATCTATAATAGGACTCTTGCAAACTGTGCTTCAGTTGGGATACAGACGTCTACAAAAATAACACAGCATACTACCCACACACCTTAGTTCTGACAGCCAGTTACACTGTTAAAGCTTCCGGTTACAAAAAAAAAAACCAAAACCCTACCCTTATATTTTGCAAAGTCTGCTCAAGAAACAGATAAAAGTTACAAGAGACACTGCTTGCATGTCCAAGATGTCTTGCATGGAACTTTACTGCCACACTTTAAAGTGGAGCCAAAGGTTCAATGTGCCTATTCACTGCCAGCTACCTCACACAACCATTTAGATGCCAGAAATTTCCACCAAATACAAATAGTATCACAAAGTACTTTAGAAATAAGTTCTGTGTACTATGATTAATATATTAAAATACTTCAAAAATGCGTCAGCTATTGGTTCACCTTCAGACATCAGAAGAGGGACAACTAATAAACCTCTATTTTACAAAGATTACTAAGCAGGGCAATACCTCTGTTACATTCATAATAAAGTCAGATCTTTAGGGGTTCCTGAAATTATTTTACACCAAAAGTTTATCATTCATATAACCTATAAATTACTTAACAGCATCTGGAAGGTGTCATTTCTAATTAAATATCAGAACACATCCAGAAAAAAAATGTAATGAATAAAATGTATTTAAACTCACCACTCCGCTTGCAGATTTTGTTTTCACATCCAGTTTCACCAGCCCAAAACCTTAACAAACAGAAGTCAAAGTTACACCAGGAGGCCTTAACTAAGACTGTGCATATTTTCCAAGAAGCTGCTTTTTCCAAGCAGTGTCAGTGGTGTGCCACATATATACATATATAAAAACAACCATAGACTGACTTCAGTAACACTCAAATTTTAGATGTTGCAGCAGGTAGAGAAGGCCGCTCTACAGCAAGCCCGTTCTGTTCTATCATCACCACGCAGAAAGTGGTGAGCAGTCTCTCAGTTGTACACTGTACATTTACCTACCAAACAATTACTTCCAAGACTAAATTTAGTGACAGACAAAATGCACTCTCTTGTGTTCCCAGGATGGTATCAGCTTTGTAGTCAATGCAATTTAAGAGATATCCCAGTGCATAAAGATTTGTCTCTCAGCACCAAAAAGAAGTAGCTCAAAGTAAAAAAAAAAAAACCAAAAAAACAAAAAAAAAGCACACCACCAAACAAAACGACAAAACTGTAAAAGTGAAGTCACTGGGAAATACACAGCCATTGGAACTGTAATAAGTAGGTTTTATGGGAGTGTCAATCTACATCGTCACCCTTAGAGCCAAGCAACAGTCTTGGTGAAAGAGCCCCCACATACATTCCCAAATACCAGAAAGAAACAGCACTGTAACAAAGCAGAATTTATACCAGGCAACTGCCTGATATCAAAGCATTTTAACATGTTGAAGGATTCTTTATCCCAATAGCTATTACTCTTTCTACTCCAAAAAAGGTTACAATGTTACAGTGGTATATATATGCCTTTCTATATCAACAAATGTTGTGGCAGAGACAGATCAGTAAACAAAGTGTACTCCTAAGTTAAACTACACTTGATGCTTACATTCTTGCATACTTGTACATCTCTGACATTTATGTGGCTAAAGCAGTAAGATTTAACAGGCTTCACATCAAAACAGCCCACAAAAAGCCTCTCATGATCTGTGAGTTGACAGTAATGATATAAAAACAACACACCTTCCCCCTCCCCAGAAACAAAGCCATTTGAGCATTTGATTTTATATACAGGCTTAAAAAGGTAATTCATTGCTGCACCACAAACACTAAGTTTTATAAAATGTACTATTCTTACCATATCCTTTATTGAAGATATCTCTGGCAGATTTGCCAAGGTCTACATATGATGGAGGAATCGCCATTGGAGCTGAAAGGTAATGGGCTAATTAATAGTGAATCTTTTACCACAGCACACACACAAAAATTGCTTCCACAATTCTTAAAGACACTCTTTAAGGCAGATTCATATATGAAGGCAGTTAACAGACACATGGCTCAAACAATTACAGTATTATTTGAAACACCTACAGATTTTCAGTGACGTCCACTGTGAACACTGAACGTTTTCTTGCCTTAGGTAATCTGCTTGTAATGCCTCCCCCACAAGACCACCCAGTTCCTAATTTTTCGAGTAATTTTCTCCATACATCTTTAATTACCAGGAATCAACTATCAGCTCACACTTCCAGAGTTGGCAGTCACCACCAAAAACAACTAAACTGGAAATTTGAAAAACTCTAATGCAGACAGTTATTTCATCAAGTTCCACAAAGTCAAATTTGACAAATACTTACAAAAATTGGCTGAAAGGACCTAAAATGTTTTATTTTCAAAGAGTCCATATGTGTTTAGCAACATGATTTGCCCCATATTTTAAATGACAGACATACAATTTAAAAAATAAACATCTAATGCCATTAACTAACAATCAACCCAACTAAGTTCCTCCCCCTGTAACATACAAGAGTTTAAGTTTGGTGCCCTGTCTTGTCAGTTTACAACGAGCAAGTTGTCCCTTCCTCAGACAGGAGCCTCTGACAATCTCACTGTTAAAGAACCTGTCATTCAAGACTAGCCATGACCCAGCCTAGCTGGCCCCATGGATACCAGCCGTAGGGCTCACAACAGGCCTGTATGGTTCTCCTTCCAATGAAGATATGCTCTTATCTGTCACTCTTTTGGCGATTGTCTTCCCATTATTTCAATAGCAAAAGGGCACTGTTACAGAGGCACTGTATTTTAAAGTTTGAAATATGCTGTTTTCTGTATTTCAAAAGAATACACAGAAGTGGGAGAAAAAGGGGAGGGAACAATTAAACTAATGAGATAAGCATTATAAAATGGCTAAACACAAGCAAACAAATCTTCTCTTATCTTTTCAAACTGATTGGTCACATCTGTTTTGCAGAGAAAGTCAGACTAATTGACTGTTTGTCTTGCTCCTCTGTGGGTTTCTTCTGTTGGTTTTTATTGTTGTTGTTCAAGTAAATGGAAAAATATCTTCAGAACCACAAAAAGGACAAAACTCTCACATGTTAACTTTCAACTGAAAGCAGAAAAGATTACTTTCATTTTTATACAGCACTTTTAACCAAAAGTTTTCAACACCTGGCTATAGAACTGCTTATCTTCTGCAGACCTCTACAAGCTCATAAGTGTATTCAATAACACAGGATCAAGACAAGCTTTTTTTTTTCCTCTCTCTATAAAGTTTATTTCCATCTTTTCATGGCCTTATCTACATAAAGGGAAAACTTCCCTGGAACACCCAATTCAGAATAATCTCCTTTAGGGTACTACTCCACTAAACAGACTTGTTGTCTCAGAATAGCATCCACATAAAGAAAAAAAAAAAAAAGATTACACCTGCCATATACAGCTTAACTGTATGAACTGCTACTAAAAAACCCACTATTTTAGCAAGCAATGGCAACACACAAGACTGTTTCCTATCTTTCTACAGTTTCTAATGCAGTTTTCCAGAGTACTTTACTCCACTTCCCTAAGCCGTAAGGGAGGAGGTCTCTCTGGGGAGACCTCATTGCAGCCTTCCAGTACTTAAAGGGAGCTTATGAACAGGAGGGGGAGCGACTGTTTACAGGGGTTGATAGTGACAGGACGAGGGGGAATGGTTTTAAACTAGGAGAGGGAAGATTTAGGTTGGATATTAGGTGGAAATTTTTCACTCAGAGTGTGGTGAGGCACTGGAACAGGTTGCCCAGAGAAGCTGTGGATGCCCCATCCTTGGAGGCATTCAAGGCCAGGCTGGATGGGGCCATGGGCAGCCTGCTCTAGTGGCTGGCAACCCTGCCCACAGCAAGGGGGTTGAAACTAGATGATCTTTAAGGTCCTTGTCAACCCAGGCCATTCTGTGATTCTATGATAAGAGGATAACTTCAATCTCCTCTGTGCAAAAACATTTACATTGAGAGTTTAACTAAAAAAAAAAGTAAAAATCCCTTCTTTAGTAAGGGGTTTTAAACTCTACAACCAGGTCACTATAGCAAGATATCCATCACTTGCTCAAAAATATTTTAAAAGTCTGGTTTTCATAGAGTAAACTAAACTGTCTCTTAACAAAAAAACCACACCCAAACCAAACAAAAGCCACTATGAAAACTACTTACAACATTTGAAGCTTAAAAAGACTGAGCCTAAGTTCAAGTCCACAATAAATAACAAGTCTTATGAAAATTCTATAGCAGAACAGATACTAATCTCAGTGACAAGACATTAAATGGTTGCTGTATTATTTATTCAGTAAAAAGAAGCAGGTGTTAGACTTAATTAGGAGGAAGTGTGGAAACACTGATCTTTCCCTTTAAATTTCTGCTGTACAGCAATTGTACAATTCATTAGCAGTTTAAAATAACTCAGAGAAGGTTTAGCTATGTATTTTTCCTCTAATGAATAGGTCTCACTTCTAACTAGCATCTTCAGAAGAATAATTATTTCAACTTTAAAAATTTTATACCAGCCTTTAGCACGGACATACTTTCACAGTATAAAAAAGCATGTTTTTCACTTTTGTTTTAAATGTTTCCAATCTGACTAGACAAGCAATACAGTCAAGAGATATATGCAAAGCAGTCATGTCCTAAGTAGCTAACAAACTGGTATCTGTGTCCAAAGGATTCCTAAAGTAAAAGGATGTTGCCATTTTATTTGGCCTAGTTAAAAATCCTTCCCATTGCAAGGAAACCAAACAGTATTTGTCAGATTTTAGACTACAGATGCAAGCTTTGTGATAAAAAGTTAAAATAGAATACAACTGTCACACTGCCATTCTAATCCTAACAGGGATGGACAAAGACAAAAGGGGAAACCAAGAGTTATTTTTCTGTATACTAAATACCCAATAAGCCAGTGATATCATCAGAATGCTCATTAAATGAAAACAGGGACAAAAAAACCCCAACATTCCTGTGTCCTCCAATGTCAACAAATTAGCTAGGTTTGCTATTCTTATAAGTATTTTTCTTCAATCCTATGACTTTGAAGTGTCTTTCACTTAAAAAATAATTAGAAGAGACTAAAATATAAGTACCATTTAACAAGAGGTTTGTTGTGAAAGCAACTGTCAGATAATTTTATTCCTCATTTAAAAAACACAGAATCTACTTGAATCAAGTGGAAGCTTCACCCTGATCTGTTTCATTGCAACTCAAAAAAAAAAAAAATTAATTATTCTGTTACTCCAGAGCTACAAACATGCTTTCTTCTTCTGTAAAAAGAAAAAAAAAAAGCCCAAGAACAAGAAAACATATTAATGTTATCACAATTATTACACTACAGTTTTCCTTCGAGGTAGTATTTCAAAACTCTCTCACACCCTATAATTAAAGAGATGCCAAGCACTTCTATAAAGGTTTCTAACAATTTTAAGATGTCAGGATATTGAAGGATATTCAAGCTAGGGGCTAGATCAGGTTATAATAAAAAAACTTAACTATTCATTTAATTTTTTAAAAAATGCAGTAACTACACTGAAGTTTAGTCCAGCAATGTCAAAAGCAACAAAGAAATTGACATTATTTAAAAATACTTTGTTAAAATACACTGGGGACACATCACTGACCTTTACTTACACTGCTACTAAAGCTTAAAAAAAAAAAAAGTCTTATTACCCTTGCTTCAAGTCTCTCCCTACTTACATCTCGGAGGCGGACACTCTAGTCTAGTAGCCATAGCTAAGCCAATTTAGAGACTCTACGGAGAAGGGAAAGAAAATTAAACATCTGAAAATGAACTACGTGTTCAGAAACTGAAAGGAGAGCTAATGCAAGGCCTCCCAGAAGGACACCGAAAGGGACAACGGCGATGGGAAAAACCAGGCCGGAAGGCGTGCGGAGGCGGCACATCCTCCCAGAGAAGGGCCCGGGCGGCGGCGCCCAACGCCAGGCCCTTCCCCGGGCCCAGGCC